CTGCCCATATATTACTCAAACGATTGAATACTTCACTCTGAAATGTTCTTTAAGCAAACTAATATGGGATACATCATATAAGTTGCTTAAGGGTTCAGAAAATGAACCCACCCCATATATACTTGATGATATTTTTTAAGTGACCAACATTAAAGACAATAAAAAGAAGAAGCAGCAATTTGGCTCTACATAACCACTATATATGAAATATGATGCTGGGAAGCACAATAATTCCTCAAGAATCTATTGCCAATATAGTTACCATCAGACTTAAACACAAGTACAACCTTTTATATAAATTAGCTTATCAGAATATAAACACTAAAATTAATTGAGCCAAGAATATAATTAGCTTTATTAAACCCTTAATGTAAATATGTAATTATATAATATAAATAAAGTATGCTTAAATGTGGTTTTTTTTTAAAAAAAAATAAAAATAAAAGAAAATAACTAAGGTTAACCAGGGGGGAAATCCCCGGTTACACATAAATGATCGTTATATAGTTTTATTTTTACGTGTACCCCTGACAGATGCAAGTCTATTTTGACAGCTGTAAATGATCGGAGATTTAATTTATACAAATAAATAGGGGTTCGGTTTGCACATGATTTTATTTCTTTTTGTTCATCGATTTATCGTTAAACGTATAGAACATAGTCAAACAGTCAAAGCAAAGTGACGCGTATATTAAAAGTGAAGACAGGAACGTAAGAAAATCAAGGTGTGTACGAGTGAAACATTCTTTAAGCAGATTTATAGTTACACGTTTTATTATCATTACATTAACTTCTATTGTCTACATATTTTCAGTTATGGAATTATTCGACGATACTGAATCTATTAACGCCACAATTAACGAAGGGTCCAACGAACTATTTGATGAAACAATAAGTGAAAACGATAATATAGGTCACCAACTCATATATGACACAGACTCTTCGGATGAAGAATCGGACGTTTCTTCACTTAAAATAACCTTAGGTAAACATTTCTGTCTAAAGCTATATTGAAGTTTCTCAGTTACAATTCTTCGGTTAAATCTTTTTTTTTGCGGTTCTTTTCGGTGGTCCTTTTTTTTCGGCGGTTCCTTTCTGGTGGTTCTTTTCTGGCGGCTTTTTTTTTCTGACGGCTCTTTTTTTGGGCGATTCTTTTTTTGGGGCGATCCTTCTTTTTGGCGGTTCTTTTTTGGCACGGCGGTTCCTTTCTGGTGGTTCTTTTCTGGCGGCTTTTTTTTTCTGACGTCTCTTTTTTTGGGTTATTCTTTTTTTGGGGGCGATTCTTCCTTTTTGGCGGTTCTTTTTTGGCATTTTTTCTTTTTCGATCTTTTTTTTGGCGGCTTTTATTTTAACAACTGTAGGGCAGTCTTTTGATAGTTGGAACGACGTTGAAAGTTTCCTAAATGCATATGGATTAGAGAAAGGTTTTAGTATCCGGAAAAGACGAAGTGAATCTCAAATAGTAAATAGCAATGAAATTTTAAGTAGAGTTTGTTGGGAGTGCAGTTGCGCGGGCAAGTATCAGGCGAAGAAA